TGATCGGTACTAATTACTCGTTGTGTTCATTCAGGAAAGGTAGGGGCTGGTAAATGTGACATATTTACAGACCCAGCAAGGGAGAATGTCACCAGCACACCGAGGATCACCAGTATGGGTCCAAATGTTTTAATGAACGATCATATAGTTACAGCAAAGGCAAAGTTTCGGAGTCTCGCAGGTCACATGCCTGATGAAGGGGTCCTGCGAGACTCCGAAACGTTGCCTTGCTATAACTATGTGATTGTTTATTAAAACTTTTGGACCCGTATTGGTGATCCTCGGTGTGCTGGTGACATTCTCCCTTGCTGATTCTTTTCGGTTCCAGCCGACGGTCGCTGCAGCACCCACTTATAGACACACAACCATTTTTAACGCAGGAATGTGTGCGTTTGTATTGTACACTTATATTTACGGACCCTTCCCCCATTCTTCATCATAAGGATGCTATAGTGTATTTGCAGCTGGAGAGGAGAGAAGCCGCCAGCAATACGGGGGTGGGGGTGGGGTCTTGGGCAGCATGGGGAAATGTACAATCAGTTCTAGCAATTCCTCCCCTCCCCCCTGTTGTGCTGATCATGTTACCTGACCACATCCTATTCACTCAGCTGCCTGGGCCCCCTGCTGGTCTGGGCCCCCCGTACAGGAGGACCAGTGGTACCCCCTTATCCATGGCCCTGCTGGGGTGCCTTGAGGTATCTTCAGGGGTGCCTTGGCAAAATATCTAAAAATTGCCCAAATTTTGTATACAAGCCAGCGGGTGGTACAAGCCTGCCTTTTAGTTCCACACAGCCACAGGTTTTCATTGGGCACCATTATGACCTTCTAGCCGCCAGCGTCCTAACAACCAATGACATCATCAGTTGATAAGGACAATGTCCGCTGTCGCCGGCGTCCTGACAACCAATTACAACATCAGTTGATAGGGACAATGTCAGCTGCTGCCGCCGGGTGTCCTGACAACCAATGACATCATCAGTTGATAAGGACAATGTCAGCTGCCACCGGCGTCCTGACAGCCAATGACATCAGTTGATAAGGGCAATGTCAGTTGCTGCCGGCGTCCTGACAACCAATGACATCATCAGTTGATAAGGACAATGTCAGCTGCCGCCAGCGTCCTGACAACCAATGACATCATTAGTTGATAAGGACAATGTCAGCTGCCGCTAGCGTCCTTACAACCAATGACATCAACAGTTGATAAGCACAATATCAGCTGCCGCCGGCGTCCTGACAACCAATGACATCATCAGTTGATAAGGACAATGTCAGCTGCCTGCACAGCATCCTAGTTTGACCCTCCCCTGGCTCTCTCCATCAGTGCTGGGGTTACATTAGCTCAGTGATGGAGAAAAACTGAGGGAGAAGAGAAACATGGGAATACTAGTCAGTACCAGTGTGCAAAAGGGTATTTGCTTTGGAAAAATAAATCCAGAAGGTGTCCCCATTACCTCATAGTGGATAATAGGCAGCCCTACCCACCAATCTTCAATGCCTGGGTTTGATTGCCAATACCGCTACGCCCCGTCTGACACCGCAGATGTCTGACCTGAGCTGTGACACCATGTCCTTCAGTAGTAGTTGATGTACTTCAGACCAGGGGAGGGGGGGGATGTAGTGGTGTTGTGGCTGTCGCTGTATGTCACGGCTCTGTCTGGTTCCCAGGTCTTGTGGATTGTCTCTGGTGGGGGGGGGGGGGGGGGAGTTTGTATCGTTTTTGTTTTGTGCTGTGTGTGCTATGTGCTTTTTATCTGCTTTTATACTTTATTCTGCACAAACCCCTTCTTCTGTTTTCAGTCTTTTCAGTGCCAGACAATAAGAAGGAATTAAAACAAAATAATCTGATATCTGGTGGGAGGGGGGAGGGGGCTGGACTTGGCGGAGCTTCACGGCAGAGCTATTCTTAATGATGGAAGTAGTAATGGCAAATTAAATATATTTTATATATTGATCACTTCATAAATTTGAAAGTCTATGGGGGCCGTCATGAATAATTTGGCGGCGCTGATCCCCTTACCTGTCGCATGGATTGCTATGAGTAAGATCGATATTATGGCGTCTACACGTCCAGCCAAACCTGCTACATCTAGGCAATCCCAAAATATTGGTCTGTTCACATGCCATTCTGATTCATATGGTCCTGCCAGTGACACCAAATATTGGAACTCGCTGGACTATGAAGAAGCCTGATCCTGCCTACTGAGCTCCTCTGTGTGTTCCAGTCCTCCGCCCTCCAGCCCCTGGTGCCTGAAACACGTCAGATTGATGGCACTGTGCAGTGTAGTAGAGCCCACTCGCCTCGGCGCAGAGCTGCTCACTCTGATTTCTACTGTTTTGGAAAAGGTTTAGAACCAAATTTAGGACATTTGGGCTCGGTTCACATGGTTACACTGGGGTAATACAGGAAATTGCGCATGTTATGCGTTTTGTGTGCTGCACAGCCATTCATAAGGTATCCCAACACACCTTGCTAACAGACATGAGTTGCACATGCATTATGGGATGGCGTGTTACATAAAACCCTACATGTGTGTTTTAGGTGTGGTAGCCGAACGGACTAACTTACCGCAAGGCATGTATATACCCATCAGTGCGCAAGTGTTACCGCAGTGCAACAGTGTGAACCCAGCCTTAATAGCAGTATTGAAGCTATAAATCAGGAGTCTCCACACTTACTAAACAAAGGGGCAGTTTACTGTGCTTCAGACTTTAGGGGGGCCGGGCTGTGGCCAGTGGGGGTAGAAAATGTCCCATCTTCGGTATTAGAGGAATTATTGGTGTCCCTTTGTTGGTGTCAGTGGGAGGAACAGTCCACATTATTGGGGTGTCACTGGAGGAATAGTGCCCCATCATTGGTATCAGTGGAAGGAATAGTGTCCCATCATTGGTATCGGTGGGAGGAATAGTGTCCCATCATTGGTATCGGTGGGAGGAATAGTGCCTCATCATTGGTGTCATTGGGAGGAATAGTGCCCCATCATTGGTATCAGTGGGAGGAATAGTGCCCCATCATTGGTATCAGTGGGAGGAATAGTGCCCCATCATTGATATCAGTGGGAGGAATAGTGCCCCATCATTGGTGTCAGTGGTATCAGTGGGAGGAATAGTGCCCCATCATTGGTGTCAGTGGGAGGAATAGTGTCCCATCATTGGTGTCAGTGGGAGGAATAGTGCCCCATCATTGGCATCAGTGGGAGGAATAGTGCCCCATCATTGGCCCCATCATTGTGGGAGGAATAGTGCCCCATCATTGGTATCAGTGGGGGGAGTGCCACATCATTGGAATCTGTGGGAGGAATAGTGCCCCATCATTGGTATCATTGGTGGGAGGAATAGTGCCCCATCATTGGTATCAGTGGGAGGAATAGTGCCCCATCATTGGTATCAGTGGGAGGAATAGTGCCCCCATCGTTGGGAGGTAGTCAGTCAGGGAGGAATAGTGCCCCCTCATTGGTATCAGTAGGAGGAATAGTGCCCCATCGTTGGTATCAGTGGGAGGAATAGTGCCCCATCGTTGGTGTCGGTGGGAGGAATGGGGGGTGCCCCATCGTTGGTGTCGGTGGGAGGAATCGTGCCCCATCCTTGGTGTCAGTGGGAGGAATCGTGCCCCATCCTTCGTGTCAGTGGGAGGAATCGTGCCCCATCCCCTATTACTGGTATCAGTGCAGGAATTATTGCCCATTGTTGGTGTCACTGCAGGAATTATTGCTTGATTGTCAGTGGGAGGAATAGCGCCCCTATTACTGGTATCAGTGCAGGAATTATTGCCCATTGTTGGTGTCAGTGGGAGGATTAGTGCACTATTGTTGGTGTCACTGCAGGAATTATTGCTTTATTGTCAGTGGGAGGAATAGCGCCCCAAGGGCCACAGTTTGGAGACCACTGCTCTAAAGCTACTGCTGAGCACCCATAATGCTTTGCCAAATGCTGGCCGCCATTTTGTCACTGGTTACCTGGCACTGAAAAGTACGAAACTTCCTCTGAGCTCATATGACACGTACCCGCCATCTAAACACAGCAGGGCGCACGCTGGTCCGGTTATGACACGGCCGCCTCTGCCGCGTTTACCAGTGACAGGTACACTTGCTGTCCCCCTTCTCTCACATCTCTCAGCAAGACAGGTGCGCTGCTGCTGCTTCGCCCCGTATTGACAGCATCCAGACTAATGACAATCTCCACCAATGACTCTCAGTAGATGTATTGGATCAATACCCGTATTGATTATGCCTGTGATGACAATATTGATTGTTAATTATTACTGAGATTTATTTTTTCTATGTGTATTGTGTGGCCTGTATTGATGTAGTACCGTGCACTCATTCTTCAGCCTTGTTCTGTTTCCAGGTCTTGTTGCTCTCCATCTCCTCCTCCCGCTGTGCGAGGTGGCCGCCTTTTCTGAGCCCGCTTCGCTGCCATCTCGTCTTACGTGTCCCAGTGTTTGAGACCAGAGATGTGAACCTCTTTCTTCTGTCTCCTACGAGAAACAAACCCAGTCTTGTTTTTTTTCTCTGCCTCTCTCCGAGTATCCGCTCTCTTCTTCTGCTCACTATGCTCTGTTACTGGCGCAAAGACTTCTGGGAAATAACTGCAGCAATGTCACATTTCACTCTACCAATCGGTTGGCTAACAAAAGTCGTTCTCACTGGTCGATAGGGGGGGATATCATTGTACACAAGTTTGATTCAACTGGCTGGAATGTTTCTTTGTATAAATGTATTGTTAATACCTTGTTGGTTGATGAATACAGAATGAAAAGACAAATATGGGCCGACAGGTAACTTCAGCAGTATCTTACAAATATGAATGTAAAATGTACAAATGTATGTCAAATTTTGTAAAATGTTGAATATTTATTTGAATACCCAGCCAATTTTTTGTTTTACTTTTTTATATAAAAAGAGGAATGACTAGAACCTTTTAAAGTATTACTAAACCTCGGACCCTGCATTCATTATATCTGGTCTCCCTGGACCCTGCATTCACTATATCTGATCTCCCCGGACCCTGCATTCATTATATCTGGTCTCCCCGGACCCTGCATTCACTATATCTGATCTCCCCGGACCCCGCATTCACTATATCTGCTCTCCCCGGACCCTGCATTCACTATATCTGCTCTCCCCGGACCCTGCATTCACTATATCTGCTCTCCCCGGACCCTGCATTCACTATATCTGCTCTCCCCGGACCCTACATTCACTATATCTGGTCTCCCCGGACCCTGCATTCACTATATCTGCTCTCCCCATACCCTGCATTCACTATATCTGGTCTCCCTGGACCCTGCATTCACTATATCGGGTCTCCCTGGACCCTGCATTCACTATATCTGGTCTCCCCAGACCCTACATTCACTATATCTGGTCTCCCCGGACCCTGCATTCACTATATCTGGTCTCCCCGGACCCTGCATTCACTATATCTGGTCTCCCCGGACCCTGCATTCACTATATCTGGTCTCCCCAGACCCTGCATTCACTATATCTGGTCTCCCCGGACCCTGCATTCACTATATCTGATCTCCCCGGACCCTGCATTCACTATATCCGGTCTCCCCAGATTTTGGGGATCTTAATGGCACGACCACACATCTCAAACCGCAGCGCATTTGTGGGTATGGAAAACGTAGGGAAATCGCATGGTGCTTTGGCACCATGCGATTTCCCTTCAGTTGTGGTTTGAAAAAGGTACAAGCACCCTTTTTTTTTTTTTTTCAGGAAACACAGGCACAGCAGTCTCATGAATGAGCTGCTGTACCCACGCAAATGTGAGCCACACACCCTCACAGATGTGAACTTAGGCGTAGAGAATCATTTCTTAAGTAGACTGGAAAGGGGTTGGAACATCTGTCAGATTTTTATTGCTCTCTGTATCTTTTTTTTTTTTTTTTTTTTTTTTTTATTACTATATCTTTTATTAAATTTTTCCAATACAAAAAAGAACATCTAATACCAAAAAAAAAAGAAAAAAAAAAAACAGAACTTCACCAGTACATACAATACATTCCATTTGCCTTGTCTTATCCCCTGCCCCCCCCCACCCCCCCCCCCCCCCCTCCAGTTGCCCCAGTCCACATCCAAATCCCTAGTTTCTATCCTTTCTGGTTGTTATCTATCTATATCTGCATCCCTTCCCTCCTATCTCCTTCTCTCTGTTGGGTACTCCAATAATACTCCTTTTAATACTTTTCCACCTATACTCCAGCCAGCTCCAGATATCTTTTAGATGTTTTAAAATTTAACCAGCTACTCCACATTTTCCTAATTTTTTTTATTCTCTCCTCAATATGACACACAACTCCTGCATCCTGTATATATTTTCCACTCTGTTACCCCAGTCATTTATTCTTGGTGGGTCTGGGGGTATCCCAAATTTGTGAATCGGGCCCTTAGCCGCACTGATTAGATGATATAATACCTTGTTCTTATGTAGTTTTACTAAAGGCTGAAATTTATAAAATCAACACATCCACGGGTCTCTTTGTACAATAATCGCACATATTTCCTGAATATATTGTATTATTCCCCTCCAGTAATCCTGTATTTACAGGCAATCCCATCATATATGTACTATTGTTCTCTTTTCCCCACAACCTCACCAACATAAATTGCTCTGTATCTTCCAGTTCCAGTGACACCCACACTCTCCAATTTGTGTATTCGGAGTCACCGGGACAGGAGCTGAAGCAAAATCTGCGCAAATATTGGCAATAACAAAAGTTCTGACTGCTACATACTTTATTGAAAAGTAAAGCAAATGATTTGGCTGGAGTTAGGCTTTAAGGCTTTAAGCTGCAATTTAAAGAAGAACTCCAGGGAAAATGATTATTTTTGCATGCAGTGGGACTGTACCCGCACTGCATAGGTTAACTGCTCGTTTTTGTCTAGGACAGGGGTGTTAAACTGGCGGCCCTCCAGCTGTTCGGAAAGCATAAGTCCCATCATGCTTCTACCTTTGGGAGTCGTGCTTGTAACTGTCAATCTTGCAATGCCTCATGGGACTTGTACTTTGGCAACAGCTGGAGGGCCGCCAATTTGACACCTGTGGTCTAGGGGATTGCCGAGTGGAGATATACTTACGTAATCCAGCGATCCTCCAAGTGCAAGACTGGTCTCTGCCTCTCCTCCCACCCCCCGCAAGCTGTCGGTCTTGTGAATTGACTGTTCCTGACATCATCACACCCATAGACCTGGACCAGCTCTGGACGTGAGGGCAGCAGGAACAGTCCACCGCTGGACATGGGGGAGCATGGTTTTCCAGAGGATCGAAGGATCAAGTAAGTATAGCTTTACCTTGCTCCCCTGGACAAAATGAAGTTAACCCATGCAGTGCACACCACCACTACATGGGAAAACAATTTTCCCAGAGTTCCTCTTTAAATTAAAATTCCACTAAATGGCTTCTGGCTGGAGGGAGGAGCCAAATTTGGATTTACAAACATCTGTAGGTAACATCTAAAGTCTGCTACTAAATTGTTAGATATAGGCGAGTCGAGTG